CCCTCCTCTCTCTAACCTCTTATTATTTTTCATGATTATCCTCCCCCTTCCGTGTAATTGGTCGGCATTTCTTATGCATTCAGACTATTCCGCCTTTGTATTTTTAAATGATCGTCTTTCATCTTGCATGGATGTCATTCTGCATTGATATTTATTCTGCGTTGATATTTATTCTGCGTTGATATTTATTCCGCGTTGATATTTATTCTGCGTTGATATTTATTCTGCGTTGATATTTATTCTGCGTTGATATTTATTCTGCATTGATATTTATTCTGCATTGATATTTATTCTGCATTGATATTCTGCATTGATATTTATTCCGCATTGATATTTATTCCGCATTGATACTTATTCTGCATTGATACTTATTCTGCATTGATATTCTGCATTGATATTTTTCTGCATTGATACTTATTCTGCATTGATATTTATTCTGATATTCTCAAGCATTATTTAAATCATCCTTATTTGTTATTCATCGATAGTATAGTGCAATGCTATTATTCTGCGATATATTTATTGCCTTTTGGTATTTTTCATTATCATTCTTTGCTATTCAGTGAATAATATACACTGATGCTTTAATCTGGTATTTATTATGTGTTGATATTTTAAAGTATTATTTGTTATTCATCTGTATTATTCTAGATTGATATTTCAAATTGCTATTTTAAATTATCATTTGTTATTCATTGATATTATTCTGTTGCTTTGCATGTACAATGAGAGCTTCTGCACCAGGGACAATTGTGTGTCTAATCACACTTGGCCAAATAAAGTATTCTATGTCATTGTGTGTTTGTATGTTTATGCATTGATATTTTTATTATTATTCATCAAGGTTCAGTGTTTATTATAGAATAGAACAGAATCCTTATAGGTTGATATTCTTGTTAGTCATTGATATTTTAAATTCATTGATTTAATTCATTGTTACTTATTGGTATTTATTATACATGGATATATTTATAGGTCCTTCAAAGTGTTTTTCAGTAGGTTGTGATATACTTAAATCTGTTTTTTCCCTCCTTAGGCCATTGTGTGGGACGAATATCTTACTGGGCCCTTTGGATTGATTGCACAATATTCTCTTTTGAAGGTAAGATATGAGCAAGGGTTATAAAAAATGCTAGAAATGTGATAATGCACTAAGTCTTTCATTTAAAAAGTTTGCATGTTCTCTCCCTGTGGAATTTTTAAAAAAACCACATTTAAAAAAAACACACACAAGGAGAATACAAATACATTCAAGATTTAAAAGATGCAACACTTAGTGATAGTCAGGGTTACTAATAAGCTATCAAACCGTACTAGGAAACTAAAACAATATAAATTGAAAGATGCAAGCAACATGGTTATAGTCATAAGTGGGGAGAGATAGATACTAGGAAGGAAGAGAAGAAGAATAGTAATGCAGTCTTAGTAAATTATTTGATGGTGTTGTGGGAATTATTTGTTTAACAGAGTGATGGCGTTCGGTGGATAACTGTCCTTGTGTCTAGTTGTTCTGGTGTGCAGTGCTCTATAGCGTTGTTTTGAGGGTAGGAGTTGAAACAATTTATGTTCTTTTTGACTCGTGCAGTGTGCAGGTCCTCAATGGAAGGCAGTTGGTAGTAATTGTTTTTTCTGCCCTTCTGATTCTCCTCTGAAGTCTCTGTCTGTCTTGTTATGGTTTATGGTTTATTAGGATTTGTATGCCGCCCACTCTCGAGAGACTCAGGGCGGCTTACAGATAAAAGCAGGAAGGGGGAACATATAAAAATTAAAAAGAACAGAGATTAAAATTTCACAACATTCATATAGAATTAGAATGGGGCTGGATAATTCAACAGCCCCAGGCCTGCCGGAACA